ACACAATTAATCAATCCACACATGAATGACTATTCAATACACAAGCATAGACTTATATATATATATGGATGAATCATAGACATCAATAATGGTAATAACATAGTTACTGGGCACATAGCCTAACTCCAAATACTGGCATATTTATATATATATACTCTCTCGATAACTGATCATAATAAAGTCTCATGAAAGACATTATCAACACAGTAAATTCATCAGTTACTCCGGGTGCCTGCACACACCAATACTAGTAATAATTTCTGTGAGTACTCTTTATAGACCCACTCTGCACACTGGTGCCTTACTGTGACATAGGTGAGCCTTGCTCACGACATACAAAATACTCTGGCTAAATAATATAGCTGACTAAAGGGGAATTGGGAGGGAAACTAGAATCACATACTTCCACCTATCCTCCGGTGAGAGTTGAGTTGAAGCTCCTGGTCCAGGCTCCTGCCTCGTGTAGGGAACGCCCCCACACACATCCTGTCGTGTCCTCCAGGAACTTAATCAACGTCCCACCATAACCGCGTCGTCTCCGTGCCTTTCCACTGCAGGTCCGTGCTCCTCCACGACTTCTCGTAGGGTTGGAGTCGGTCTCCTGGCCGTCAACTTCTCCTCCCAGCTACGGCTACCCGCCTACGTCTCGGCTGCAGTCGTTCGGATTCCCGATTAGTGTCTTCTTCACTGCTTCCCAGTGGATTGACCCAGCCGCTACGTCGTCACTGTGAAGCTATCAGACGTCCCAGACGATACTGCCTAGACTTCACCTGCACAGCACCCGATCCTGGAGCACTTGATGCTCAATGTTCCGTCAATTCCCTCTTTGGTCCACACATGGAATGAAGGAAGACCTCTGGCGTACTTGCAGACTACGGGTGACGCGTAAGATCCACGGGAGTGGCGTGTTACTGTCAGATTGACAGGATCAATCTTCACACATCCGACCACCTTGACGTGTCGTGTCAGACTGATTCCCTTCGGAGGATTGGCCCAGCCACTACATCATCACTGTGAAGCTATCAGCCGTCGCATACGTCGCTGCCTAGACTCCACTCTTGCACAACACCTGTTCCTGGAGCACTTGTTGCTCAATATTCTGTCAGTTCCTTCTCTGGTCCAACACATGAACGAAGGAAGACCCCACAGGTGCTGGCAGACCACGGGTGATGCGTAAGTCCTCCGGAGACGGGGTAAACTGTCCAACTGACAGGACCCCCCAGCGCACGTCCGACCTCCTTGACGTGCTGTCTTAAACTGATGACGCCAGAGTCGTGCACTGACCGGGCCCCCCTTCCTTCGTGACGTCATATTCGCCATGGGAGGTATTCATTGGCTCCCTGTGCCACGTCGCTGTCGGTGGCCAATCTGGTGCCACTGACGTCACACAGTTTTGGCGGCAAAACAGAGTAGCCAGCGCCATATTGGCTTCCTAAAGGGCCTATACCACAGGCCAAAATACTCTTCTTTTACAAATTTCTCGATACCTCGAGAACACTCCACTCTCCCACATATATCAAACTGATGCCTGCGACGTAGAGAACGCTCGGGTAAAGTGGACATGACTCTTACAGCAGGCGTGGGAGAAATATAAGGGGGGGAACACCATCACAATATCAACAAACAGTTAAGAATGAACAAAGAAGCCACTGGGACAAAATAGATGGTCGTCAAACACCAGGTGGAGTCTGGAGAGGGAAGATGCCTGAGGAGGGTTATAACTACAGACTGGAACCTGTCACATTCATTCATTGGATCACATGAACAGCAGTCGTAGAGTAGGTAAATGTTTCGTGAGAATCATAAATTAGGACTTGAATGCCAATTGCATTTTGAACACTTGCTAAGGTAGAGCAGAGGTTTAGGCGCAAAGAGGAATATCTGTCCTACAACTGTTTTTTAATATAAACTTTTAGAACACAAAGAGAAAACCCACACATTCAAATGCACATACTAGAGCACACACCGACACACCAACACACAGTCGGTATTTCACACACCGACACACTCACACCTTATTTCCTCCACACGAAACTAGGCGGAGGAAACAGGAGGCCAGACCCTGGATACCGAATGGGAGATGAAGCTCTTCACTAAACGAAGAGAGAGAAAGATCTAGGAGTTCATATCACACCAAACCTGTCTCATGAAGCCCACATCAAAAGAATAACATCGAAGGCGTTTGCGAGGCTGGCTAACATCAGAACTGCCTTCAGGAACCTGTGTAAGGAAACATTCAGAGCCTTGTATACCACATATGTAAGACCAATTCTGGAGAATGCGGCCCCAGCATGGAGCCCGTACCTTGTCAAGCACAAGACGAAGCTGGGAAAATTTCAGAAGAATGCCACTAGGCTAGTCCCAGAACTAAGATCCATGAGTTACGGGGAAAGGCTGAGGGAACTGTACATAGCGTCGCTGGAAGACAGAAGAGCTCGAGGAGACATGATCACCACATACAAAATTCTCAGAGGAATTGACTGGTTAGACAAGGATGAATTATTTAATACGGGTGGTACACGCACAAGAGGACACAGGTGGAAGCTGAATACCCAAATGAGCCACAGAGACATTTGAAAGAACTTTTTCAGTGTCAGAGTAGCTAGTAAATGGAATGCACTGTGAGGTGATGTGGTGGAGGATGACTCCATACACAGTTTCAAATGTAGATTTGAAACCTAAGCATACACAGTAGGCTCAGGAATCAGTACATCAGTTGATTGACGGTTGAAAGGCGGGACCAAAGAGCCAAAGCTCAACCCGCGCAAGCACAACTAGGTGAGTACAACTAGGTGATTACAACTAGGGGGAGTACAACTAGGTGAGTACACACACTGACACACACACAAACACATGTAGCAGATATAATAGGAGAAATGGCTACTGGACTTCAACAAGACTAAGTGTAGTGATGTGAGGGGGAACAAGTGACAGGAGACCAAAGGGACAGTTCACTAAGCTATTAAGTGCAGCTTACTCTACGCTATCAAAACTTATAATACCATTCAGGAACTTTAATAGGAAGGCATTTAGGACGCTTTACACTGCCTTCTTCAGACCAGTCTTAGAGTATGCAGCTCCCTCACGGAGTCCCCACCTGAAGAAACGCATTAGGAAACTGGAAAAGGTAAAGAAGTTTACGACAAGGTTCGTCCCAGAGTTACGAGGGATGGGATATGAAGAGAGCCTGAAAGAACCGATCCTGACGACGATAAAAAAAAGGGGAGAGAGAGGAGAGATATTATAGAGGCATATAAAATACTTAGTGGGATTGGCAATAGAAGAAATGTTCAACTTGAATACCAATAGATCAAGGGGGAGGGGGGGCCAGGGGTTGAAGCCTGAGACTGAGATGAGTCATAGAGATGTTAGGAAGCTTTCATTTAGTGTAAGAGTTGTGGGAAAATGGAATGACCTGAAGGAGCAGGGTATTAGAGCAACCTTAATTCATAACTTTATTTCTGGTATGATAGGAGTCAGGATCAATAGCATTAGACTACCAGCGGCTAGAAAAATGTGGTTCAAGGGCTAGAGGTCGACCCTGCAGGCACTAATTGGTGAGTACATATAGGTGAGAACAAGCACACAAACGATGCTCAAGTAATGAGAAGAGTTGTGACATGAGGAGTGTAAGATTCTCCAATTTGACATAAACAAGCTGTAGACTTAGCTCGACAAATGGTTGCTGGAGTTTAACACCAGTACGTGTAAGGTGATAGAGATGGGAACTGGTGACAGGAGACCAAAACGATATTACACGATGAAAGGGAAACTACCTCCCTGTAACGACCAGGTAAAATGACCTGATAGGGGACATGAAACTAAATCTGACTCCTGAGACTCATATAAATAGAATAACAAAAGCAGCATACATTACACTAGCAAAAGACAGAACATCGTTTAGGAACCTAAATACAGAAGCATTTAGGTTGCGGTGCGGCTCCTTCAGGAGACCAGTTTAGGAGTACATCGACCCATCGTGGAGCCCCATCTGAAGAAGCACATAAGAAAACTGGAAAAGGTGCAGAAGTTTGCAACAAGGCTTATACCCACCAAGATGTACTCACCTAGATGTGCTTACAGGGTCGAGCTTGGATCCTAGCCCCACCTTCCGAACGTTCTTAAATTATTAATGCAGTGATTTATTTCTCACGCTTCTATCGTGTTTACGTATAAAACTTTGAATCGGATTAACTTTATTGACTTGTACGTCTATCATGAAGCACTTATTGACAGCTTTGACTTTGACAGAGTTCTTTCTGATGTCTCTGTGACTCATTTGTGACTTGAGTTTCCGTTTATGAATAACTTGTTCTGCTGTTTCTATCTTTGAACAATGCTGCTTTGTCTACCTTGTAAATTTCCAATAGGTTATTTTATGTTATCATATCACCCCGTTCTCTCCTTTCCTCCAGTGTGTAAGGTCCAGTTCCCTCAGTCTTTCCTCATAATTTAAGCCCTTCATCTCAGGAACGAGTCTCTTTTAAAATCCTCCCTCAAAGGATACACTGAAAGAGGACTGAGGTTCTCCCTCCTTGTCCCAGAATTGCCAGGGATGAGCGATGAATAGAGACTGAAAAACTAAACCTGTCGACGCTCGAAGAGTAGAGAGAATGGGGGGACATGATAGAAACGTATAAAATATTTATGGGGATTGAGAGAGAGGCAATGAACACAATGAACACCAAAAGTACAAGAGAACATGGATGGGTTCTTGATACTTAGATAAGTCATAGAGACGTTAGAGATTTTTCTCACGGTATGAATAATGGGAAAATGAATGAACTGAACGAGCAGGATGTGTAAGCAAATCCATTTATACTTTTAAAAGTAGATATAATAAGGAATTATGTCAGGCATTAGACATGGGACGGACGTAAGAGCATAATACGAAAATGATTTAACATGTTCTGATGAGTCGGTTCCACGAGCATGTTCTGATGAGTCTGTTCCACGAGCATGTTCTGATGAGTCTGTTCCACGAGCATGTTCTGATTAGTCTATTCCAAGAGCATGCTTTGATGAGTCTGTTCCACGAGCATGTTCTGATGAGTCTGTTCCACGAACATGTTGTGATGAGTCTGTTCCAAGAGCATGTTTTGATGAGTCAGTTCCACGAGCATGTTCTGATGAGTCTGTTCCTCGAGCATTTTCTGATGAGTCTGTTCCACGAGCATGTTCTGATGAGTCTGTTCCACGAGCATGTTCTGATGAGTCTGTTCCACGAGCATGTTCTGATTAGTCTGTTCCACGAGCATGATCTGATGAGTCTGTTCCTCAAGCATGATCTGATGAGTCTGTTCCTCAAGCATGATCTGATGAGTCTGTTCCACGAGCATGATCTGATGAGTATGTTCCACGAGCATAATCTGATGAGTATGTTCCACGAGCATGATCTGATGAGTCTGTTCCACGAGCATGTTGTGATGAATCTGTTCCAAGAGCATGTTTTGATGAGTCTGTTCCACGAGCATGTTCTGATAAGTCTGTTCCTCGAGCATTTTCTGATGAGTTTGTTCCACGAGCATGTTCTGATGAGTCTGTTCCTCGAGCATGTTCTGATGAGTCTGTTCCACGAGCATGTTCTGATTAGTCTGTTCCACGAGCATGATCTGATGAGTCTGTTCCTCAAGCATGATCTGATGAGTCTGTTCCTCAAGCATGATCTGATGAGGCTGTTCCACGAGCATGATCTGATGAGTATGTTCCACGAGCATAATCTGATGAGCATGTTCCACGAGCATGATCTGATGAGTCTGTTCCACGAGCATGTTCAGATGAGTCTCTTCCACGAGCATGATCTGATGAGTCTGTTACACGAGCATGATCTGATGAGTCTGTTCCACGAGCATGAACTGAAGAGTCTGTTCCACGAGCATGATCTGATGAGTCTGTTCCACGAGCATGATCTGATGAGTCTGTTCCACGAGCATGATCTGATGAGTCTGTTCCTCAAGCATGATCTGATGAGGCTGTTCCACGAGCATGATCTGATGAGTATGTTCCACGAGCATAATCTGATGAGCATGTTCCACGAGCATGATCTGATGAGTCTGTTCCACGAGCATGTTCAGATGAGTCTCTTCCACGAGCATGATCTGATGAGTCTGTTACACGAGCATGATCTGATGAGTCTGTTCCACGAGCATGAACTGAAGAGTCTGTTCCACGAGCATGATCTGATGAGTCTGTTCCACGAGCATGATCTGATGAGTCTGTTCCACGAGCATGATCTGATGAGTCTGTTCCGCGAGCACGATCTGATGAGTCTGTTCCACGAGCATGATCTGATGAGTCTGTTCCACGAGCATGATCTGATGAGTATGTTCCACGAGCATGATCTGAAGAGTCTGTTCCACGAGCATGATCTGATGAGTCTGTTCCACGAACATGTTCTGATGAGTCTGTTCCACGAGCATGATCTGAAGAGTCTGTTCCACGAGCATGATCTGATGAGTCTGTTCCACGAGCATGATCTGATGAGTCTGTTCCACGAGCATGATCTGATGAGTCTCTTCCACGAGCATCATCTCCCTTTTACCAGGATATTCATACAACTTGTGTGTATAAGAGTTACGTGTAAAGTTTTATAAATAAATAATACGCCTGAATAAAATGCAATACAGACTTCTTTACGAATATTTGCCACGTAAACCAGAATGTTTTGCGCTCCCTTGAGTTTATCAAACACGTATTCTAAGTCTGAGCCAAAATATTCATGTCTCTGGAACACGACTTGCAAAAGTTCTCTGAGCCGTTTTAATAAGATATTAGTTCAAGATTAGCATATGTATATTGGACCAAATTACTCTTTCTTCTTGTCTGAGAGCTTGAGTATTACTCGAAATGATCCCGCAGCGTATGGCTTAAGATTATATTTTTGTTATTCACACACACATAAACTCACACACATTCTCACATGCACACTCACCCGCACACGCACTCGCACACCCAAACTTAATACCCAAATGAGCCACAGAGACATTAGAAAGAATTTTTTCAGTTTCAGAGTAGTTAGTAAATGGAATGCACTAGGAAGTGATGTGGTGGAGGCTGACTCCATACACAGTTTCAAATGTAGATATGATAGAGCCCAGTAGGCTCAGGAATCTGTACACCTGTTGATTGACAGTTGAGAGGCGGGACCAAAGAGACAAAGCTCCACCACCGAAAGCATAAATAGGTGAGAACACACTCACACACACACACACATCTGTGTTTCGTGGGTTCAGGTAGCTGAACGGACAGCGCAGGACTCGTAATTCTGTGGCCCGAGTTCAATTCCTGGACCAGGCACAAACAGATGGGGAAAGTTTCCTTCACCACTGATGCCCCTGTTACCTAGCAGTAAATAGGTACCTAGGAATTAGACAGCTGTTATGGAGCTGCTTCCTGGGTGTGTGTGTGGGAGAAAAAAAAACATTAGTTAGTTAGTTGTTAGTTACAGTTGATTGACAGTTGAGAGGCAGGCCAAAAGAGTTGAGCTCATCCCCTGCAAGAACAACTAGGTGAATACACACACACACACTCTGGGCTGTGTGTAGGAAGGGGGGGGGGGAGTTGTCTGGCTGAGTGGACAGCGCTCTAAATTCGTGGACCTAGGGACCAGGGTTCGATCCTGGCAGCCGGCGGAAAAACAAATGGGCAGAGTTTCCTTCGCCCCTGATGCCCCTGTTACCTAGCAGTAAATACGTACCTGGGAGTTAGACAGCTGCTACGGGCTGCTTCCTGGGTGAGTGTGTTGGAAAAAAAAGAATTAGTAGTTAGTAACAGTTGATTGACAGAACGGGCTGAAAGATCAGAGCTCAACCCCCACAAGAACAACTAGGTGAGTACAACTAGGTGAATACACACACTCAAACTCAGGACTCCGGACACACAACTTTCTCAAACCACAAGAAAGTGGAGAAAGAAAGTTCAAATAGCGGAATTGATAATAAGTGTTGAACACATTGTGGCATTGGGAAGTTGTGGAGAAGACCTCGCGGTGGCCGTGACCTCACTAACCTCAGTTTGTGACCGACCATGACCTCACACCGGCTGCCACCTTATCTGACGCACCGCGTGGAGAGAGACGCCTGGGTTTGTGTAGCAGGTCGTGCAAGGTATTTGGAGTGCCTGTTGGCTAGCTAAGGTTGTTTATTGCAAAGACGAAATCAGGAAGAGCCTTTAGGTCAAGCACCAGCAGGGAAGAGGAGGAAGATAGATTTGTAGACAAGCTAATATGGAAGTTTTTTGAGAGAAGGAACGTTAGGATAGAAGATCTAATCGAGGTCATTAAGAGTGAGATCTTTCAATAAATACAGGACGAGGTTAAGAGACAGAAATAAGAGCTAGGGGGTTATCTTGAGGTTATCTTGAGATGATTTCGGGGCTTTTAGTGTCCCCGCGGCCCGGTCCTCGACCAGGCCTCCACCCCCAGGAAGCAGCCCGTGACAGCTGACTAACACCCAGGTACCTATTTACTGCTAGGTAACAGGGGCAAAGGGTGAAAGAAACTTGGCCCATTTGTTTCGGCCTCGTGCGGGAATCGAACCCGCGCCGCAGAATTACGAGTCCTGCGCGCTATCCACCAGGCTACGAGGCCCCCTACACTATATTCTATATATAGGGGGGGCTATATTCAGGAAGAAATTAGGAGTAGGGAAGCATGGGAGAGTGAATGTGCTAGGCTTGCAAATGAATTTCGCAGAGCAAACAGCATGGCTAGGGGGATGAGCATCCCCCACTTATCCATTGGATAAGTGGGGGATGAATTAGTGAGTGTGAGAGAGGCGGGGTAGGGGGGGGGTATCCAGGGGAGTGGCTATCAGCATGAGAGTAAATCACTGAGAAGGTGGTCAATTATCCTCCAACGATTATTCGAATCAAGGGAAACATCAAGACATGAAAAGACAGAAATGGAAAAATTTTAATTACATGAGATTTTAAGATGTATTAGGACCGAGATGGCAGGAAACGAGGTGGAATTTGACCTTACAACTATAACAAGACTCGGCATGTTCTGGTTCAATTTTCTAATGAAGAGGCAGTGGATTACATAATGAAGAACTAACATTTACTCAGAGGCAGCAAAGCCCATTACAGTGTGTTTATTGAACGGTATATGACGAAAGATGAGCAAATAGCCTGCAAGACGAAATGGACTGCATGCCACCAAAACCCCTAGCCTCCTAAACTCCTTTCCATGTCACACCTCCACAACTCTGCCTTCCCATCCTCCCCCCTGCTTCAACCCGCAACATCTCCCCTGCTCCTTCCACACTTGCACTCAACTCAACCTGCTACATCACACCCTTAATGACCCTATCGGGCCTAGCCATACCCTCCCAAAACCCACTTTCCCCACCCCTTCTTCTCTACTAACCCTTGCAACTCTACTTCAGCCTCAAACCCCATTGCCTTCAATTCCATCTGCTCCATCCCAGCTCTCAATGTCCCTTCTTAAAGCACACCCCCCAAACCCCAACCAACCTTTACCCCTCCTCTGCACCCCATCTCCCGTATGACCTCCTCACCTTGTCACCCCCCCCATCTCTTCCCCCATCTCCCTCTTCCCCTCTTCTACTTCAAAACCCATACCTATCCCTGATTCTCCCTTGATTAATACAACCTCTCTTCCACTTTCAACACCCATGCCCCATTCCCCCATCAGCCCTGCACCCCACAATATCTTTCTCTCACCCCAACTTCTCAACCTCTATCTGACTCTCAGACTCACTCTACGTCTCAACTTCCGAATGCAATTCAGATCCTCCCTAATTTTCAGACCCATTATGCCCTTCCTACACCTAAATTCTCAGACCCCATTTGCCCCCCCAGACACCAGCCAGACGGCCCTCCCCCCACAGACCCCCAGAGAAAGGGTGAACACTGGTACCAGAGTTTCCAAGAAGAGCCTCAACGTTTGGAACACCAATGCTGATTGGGTATCCAATAAAGCAGAAAAGGTAAAGGAAAGAGTTAGTGAGGCAGACCCAGACATGATTGCAATAGTGGAAACTGAAATAAATGTCATGATATCGGATGCTATCTTTCCAGAGGGGAACCAGGTAATAAGAGAAGAAAGGACACAGAGACAGGGAGGGGGAGTGGCACTCCTAATAAAGAAGAAATGGAAGTTTGAAGTCCTGGAAAAATCAGGGTACCAATGAAAGCACAAGCTCCATACTTGGAACTCTGACAGCAGATAGGAAGAATATTGTGATCTTGGTAATCTACAATCCCCCCACCAAACAGTAAAAGGCCCAGGCAGGATTATGATGACAACAACAAGGCATGTATAGATGAACTGCAGAGGGCAGCAACAATAGCTCATAGAATGAGAGCGAAACTTCTGGTCATGGGGAACCTAAGTCACGCAGAGATCAATTAGGAAGCAAGGAATCCCCCATGGCGGGGAAGGAACGTGGGGAACAAAGTTAGTAGACGTTATATACAGGAATTTCCTTTCACAACATGTAAAGGTAAATACAGGGGAAAGAAGAGGGGAATACACCGAGCCTATTAGACTTAATTTTTACCCAGAACGAAGAAGATATCGAGAATTTGGAACAAGAAATACTGCTAGGAGTCAGTGACCATTGTGTCCTAGTCTTTGACTACATGATGGAACTCAAACTTGTGACTAAGGGACAAGAGGTCTGGGAAAGGAGAGTTAACTACAGGAAAGGGGAACATAGGAGGATAAGGGACTATCTGGTTGAAGTGCAGTGGGAAGGATAAATTAGAGGAAAACAGTCCAAGATATGATGAACCTTGTCATACGGAAATGCCAGGAGGCCGAAGAGAGATTTATACCAACAGTAAAGGAAAAAAGAAAGAGGGAATATAATAACCCATGATTTACTAGACAGTGTCAGGAAGCAAAAATGAAGATGTAGGAGGGATTGGAGGAAGTACGGAATACTAAGGACAGAGGACAACAGGATTAGGTGTAACAGAACTATGAACGATTACATTAATTAACATAAGAAGAGTATCGGAAAAAAATATGAAAATGATATTGCAATCAAAGCGAAAAAACAACCTAAATTATCTCCATAGCCATATAAGAAGAAAAACGTCGGCGAACAACCAAGTGACAAGACTAAGGAAAACAGAGGGGGCATATACAGAAAGTGACAAGGAAATTTGCGAGGCACTGAATGTCAGTTTCCATGGAGTGTTCACAACCGAGCCTGAGAAGCTCCCATTGTTTGAAGAGATTACACTAGATGAAAGACTAGAATCAAATATAGAGGTGACAGCAGAGGAGGTAATGAAACAGTTTACAAAACTGGATGCAGCTAAAACGGTTGGACCAGCCAAAGTATCACCGTGGACAATAAAAGAGGCAGCGCAGGCCCTCAGCGTTCCTCTGGTAATGATCTTTAATTAGTCACTTATGTCGGAAGAATTGCCCAGTTGTTGGAAGAAGGGAAATGTCGTATCGATTTTCAAGAAAGGAGATAGGGAGGAGGGCACTTGGTTTAACTACATACCTGAATCACTTACAAGCATCCCCTGTAAAATACTTGAAAGAATAATTAGGCTAAGACTTGTAGCACACCTGGAGGGCACTTGGTTTGTAAACAAACACCAACATGGGTTC